CCCTCCCGGCAGGGCCCCCCCCCGCCGCAGATGCCTGGAGACCACATGCACCCCTACGGTAAGGCTCCAGGGTTTGCCTCTTGCATTCTCTCCTTCGAAGAGATGCTGGGCTGTGGTGTGGGGCTGTGTGGCAGGGGCATGCATGGGGAGTGCAGCAATTTCTGGGAAGATGGCAGTCCCCTCACCCCTAAATCCTTATGCTGAAAAAGCTGGAGATACCTGGCACTGCCAAGGTGCCAGAGAAGGAAGCAGGCTCTGAAGCCCTTCTGCTCCTTCCCTGCTTCCCAAGGTGCCGAGCCCCTGTTCCACGACTTGGATAGTGATGATACCTCACTGAGCAACCTGGGCGACTGCTTCCTTGCCACAGCGGACGCAGGGCCACTCCAGGCGCGAGTGGGGAACCCCATCGACCACCTCTACTCCATGCAGAACTCCTACTTCACCTCCTGAGCACGGCATGGTCCCCGGCATGGGGCAGCTGCCACCACCGCGCTGCCCCAGGAGGGGCTGCAGAGCCCCGGGGTTTGGGAGGGAGGGGGAAGCGACACTGCTGGGATTCTGTCAAACAATATGTTGTAGCTTGGGATTCCCAAGGAGTGAGTTAAGTTATGGGTTGCATAGTTTCATGTTTCTCTTAGGAGCCTAGGATTAGGGACAGGAGTGGTTTTTGCAGCTGGCTGGTGGATTTTCAAATTTCAAACAGGAACCAAATTTCTCGTTTCGGCAGGAGGAAAGGCAGGGGGAGGGAAACCCTTCCTGCAGGAGCATCCCGGTGCCATATCCCCTCCGCACCACTTTCGGTTGGAGTGGCAGAAAAAGCAAACTGCTGGTCTTCACGGGGAGAGCCTGCAGCATCAGCCGGGCTTTGAAATTTGAAAAGCTGACAATGCTTTGGGGAAACACGGGGAAAATTTCGCTGCGGGGTTTTCCCTCTGTTCCCTTGACCAGCTTGAGCGCTTGCTGTTTAAACACAGGGACTTTTAAGATAGATGTTCCCATGCAAATATAGAAAGCTAGAAACCCCTAACATTATCCCCGTCGCCGAGGACGGGGCTCTGTGTGTGTATGTGTGTGTGTGTGGGCACACACGTGTGTGTGTGCAGAGCTGTGTGGCTGTGGGTGATGTACTGCACAGCCACACCTGCCAGATTGTATCAACAAAGTTTATTTCTAAGTCTATCAGAAATTTACTGTACAGCAAAAGTAACTTTATTTTCAGCGTGAACCATATTTAAGGAAATACTCAATGCACTTAAGTTATAAGATGAAATAATTTACTTTTTATAAACGTTATGTTTAGGTTGCAAAAGCCCAGTGGCAGGGAAGGAACATCAGTTCATTTCAGGTGATAGGTTTGGGTTTCGGGGTTGGTTATTTTTGGTGCTCTCAGGTTGCCCCACTGGTTTTGAGGTGCAGTTGAAACCCAAAGCAGGGCTGGCTCCAGGGACCTGCTCCTCTGCCAGCAGATCGATGGGGACAGCACGGTGGCCAGGTCCTGTCCCCACCGCTGGATATGTCCAGGAGGTCGGTGCAGGGTGGATGACGCTGCTGGAGCTGGTGGACATCCTGGCCCATCAGGGCTCAGCCATGCTTCTCTGCATCACTTTTCTCCTTCCCGTGGCAGGACCCAGCCTGCCTCCGCCAGCAACCCCGTCCCGTACCCTCAAATATGGGTGCTAGACCAGTGTGAGCTGCTGTCCTGGCTCTGGAAAACACTGCAGCCTGTATCATCACCCCTCAGGCGAAGGAGAAAGGAGGGAGCCCTGCATTTCCTGCTCCATGTTCAGGTTCATCCCTGCAGGAGCCGTGGGAACCTGGCGAAAGTTCTCCTTAGGGTCGAGCCTTCAGCTGGCCCTCACCTCATCCCCACTCTCGTTTTCATGCGTTGTGTCCTTTTGTGCTGCTGTTCACAAATGATGTAAGCAACAACCCATAAAGACATGCAAGTGACTGTGAGGCTCAAAACATTGGCTCATTGCCACCGTACGATCTGACACTGAATGTAGCGGGGTCTGGAGATGGCTGACCCGGCAGGAGATGCTGACACACTGTCAGAAATAGCGTACAAAGATGAAATTAAAAAGACAAAAAAATCTCTGGAAAAAAAAAAAAAAGCGTGGTCTCTTCTTGTGTGGGGGTGTCCTGTTGACTTGGAGAGGGAAGAGTTTGAATCATCTCCAAAGTCAGCAAGGTGTCAAGTAGGGTATGGTGAGACCACGGGGGAAGCTTCTGTTCCTTGGGAATTTGATATCAAATATTCTCTGGTCTAGACTAAACTGGTCCTTGAGGGTCCTCTGTGGCCAATGGACAGAGATTGGTGGATCTGGCTCCCACCTGAGGTGGCAGCGAGGGGCTTGCTGGGGCTCTCCACTGAGCACAGCAGGACTGCACAGGACTAGCTCAGCTGTGAACAGCCAACTTTCAGACATCTGTAGGCAGCGGAGATGACTCAGCCAAAAAGACAAAAGAAAAATGGAGGCCAAACACCAGGCAACCTTGTTGACAACAAGAAGGGATCTTGTAGAAAGGATGGGCAAGAAGAGAAAAAGTGTTTTGCATGTTTGCCAGCTCTCTGCATGTGCTCATGTGTGTTTGTACCACCAGAAAACTCTGCTTCATGTTTACACCTGCCCACAGTGTTTCTATGCTCTTAGCATTGAAGGAGAGCTGGAGAAGCCAGGACAGCCAGGTTACTAGCAAAACGTTTTCCCGAATGCATGAGCTCTTCACTTAAAATGCCCTGCAGACCTCATCAGTACCTTTGCATCCCTGGTTGCCATCTCAGCTCACTGAGCAGAGCATGACTGGGAGGCATTCATCTTCCTCCAGGGCAGGGGGACTGCAGGAGTGGGAAAGCATTTCTGCAGGCCAGGTTACCCCATGAGTGCTCTCACCTGGACTATCACTTCACCATGAACACCAGCTCTCCATGGCAGGGCCATGGGCAACTCCATGTTAGGATTGCCTAAAAGATATGGGTGGGTATTTCCCAATAGGAGTTGCTCTCATCACAGCTCCCTGACATGGAGAGGTTCCACGAATATGTGCTGATGCCACCAAATTGGGGATGGGGATCCACAAGTCATTGTCTGAGATGTTCAAAACAAGGTGTTTGCTTTCCTGCCCTACATCAGTCACTGCTTTGCTGTCCCTGTGCTATAAAATGCTTTCAAAGTCCAACCTGCAGAAAAAAAAATATTCCAAAATGGTGTGACTGCATGAAGAAAATTTGTGATTTTTATTTTGCAAGTTGTAGTTTCCTAGGAACAGCCTGGATTTCTTGGGTTGGTTTGGGGTTTTGCTCTGTTTCAGAACAGAAGAGCATGGCGCCTGACCCTATGGACGGCAACTGCTGCAAGACCCCCAGCAGCCCCAGCACAGCAGTGTCCAGTTTGTTCCAGTCACCCAGTCATGTCTTGGGATGGGGTGCTGGGCAGCCTGCCTGACCCAAATTGCTCAGGACTGTGTTCTTGGTCATCCTGCAGCTGAATGTTTCCCCTTGCTCCCCAGAATGAAGACTTATTTTCAGTCACTGCACAGGCTCTATTTTCTCTTAACATAACATTTTGATTTCAAAACATCTCTGAGCCCTTATCTGGCCTCTGTTGCCCCAAACATGAGCTGAAAAAGCACAGAAAGGCAGCTAGAGAAATGTCTAGCATATAGGAGAATGCTTTCCATGGAGAATTAAATAAGCTGTATTGAGCTGCAAGGTCTTCTCTTCCAGTAGAAATAGCTCATCTGTTCCTGCTTGCTCATTTGGGATGTAATTAGTGAGTCACCAGGTGAAGGTGTCGCAGGAGGGAGAGTAAAACCCTATAAAAGCAGTATTCACAGGTTGCCTGGATTTGGGAGGAGGTGGGAAGATGTGCCCTAGGAAGCTGGCTGGCCTGATTTGAGGTGATCTTGTGAAGGACAGCAGGGTAGGTGCTTGTGTGCAAGTTTTGCTGTGTTTCTAAAGCCCTTGCTAAGAGAGAATTATGTGTCGGGAAATTTCTTTGTAGAGACTGTGGTATGTGCGTGTACTTTACTCTTGCAAAGCACAAGGGTGGTACCTGTTATAAGTGCTACTATTTTTTAATGTTGACTAAGCATAATTTTTTTAGATGGTTGTCTCCAAACCCAGCTTCTGGATGGATGATATGGAAAGGCAAAATCCAATCTTTTACTTTGTGATTTTGGCACAGGCAGGCTCCACAGCAGCAGGGAAAAGGGTTGGACCTGTTCTGGCATGGGCAGGTTGGGGAAATTATGGCTTGAGATTTCTCTGTCACTGGGCTTGGAGAAATGCTGGCGGGTGCTAGTGGAGCGGTGGGGATCTGGGCTGGGGTGAGGCCGATAGTCATTGTGAGCTGGAGGTAGAGATGTGCTTTGCTTGTGGAAAGGGGGCAGATCTGGGGGAGGTGGCGTATGTGTGGTGTGGAGGAGATGCTGTGACCTATGAAGCCAGCATGAGTCTGATTTGTAGGATCCAGCTGTAGGTAATGGCTGGGCTAACGCCACCCAGGCTTGCAATAGAAAAATGGATATTTTCATTAATGGTTATTAAAATTACCTTAAATATTCCCCTCACTTGGATGCTTCTTAAAACATCATCTTTATTTTTTTTTTTAAATCTTTTAAAGCTAAAAGGTTTGTCTTCCCCACCCACAGCTATCTCCTATTTGAAAAATGTTCACCTACATCAGTCTGGCTTTCCATCAGCCTAACTACCATTTACACTTGCCAAATTACTTCCTCTAAAATAAAACCCCCATAAACCCCATGTTTTACAGACTGGTTGCCTACTTTTAAAACCTTGCAAAAATGTAATGACATGCTATAATAACAGTATCTCAAGGTATGCGTCTGTATGTGTATAGAATTATTACATATAGCATATAATTTCAGGGAAGTATCATTATTGTGGAAGGGGACAGATCTCTGTCAACTAACATCAGCAGAATCCATGGTTTTAAACCTGGCGTCCTTCTGCAAGTTGGCCTCTGTGCTTGACACAACCCGAACATAAGTCCAGCTTGCAATTGTGCAATGCAGTAGCAGATGTGGGTCCTCCTGTCATCTGGATTTCATATTCTGTTGTGCCTTATTTTCAGGGTGTGGATGGATCCTGCAAAACTGGCTGGGCCTTATCTTCTGCAAGTGAGGGACTCACTGCATGGCAGATAACTTCTTGTCAGGCTGGGTGGGTTGTTGGATGTCCCTGGGTGGATGGTGAGTTTGCTGTGTTCAGGACTGGCCCCCTGGGATGTACTTTCATGGTGCTGCTTTAACATATTGTGCTCCATGTCTGAGCCCGCTCTTGGCCTGGGGAGCGACTCCCTAGGACAAATGATATCTTCTTGTCAAAGCCAGGAAGAAAAGAACAACGTCTGACATGAAAACAGGCTCTACCTTGCTCTCCAAGGCAAGGGCAATGCCAGGAAAAGGCTGGGAGCTGACTTTCATGT